TAGAAAAGCAATTTTGAAGCCTCTGTGCGTTGAGGTAGGTTGAAATCAGTTTGTTTATGCGTATTAAGATTGTGTTTACTAACATTACTCATCAGAAATGTTTTGGTTAGACCTACCCGTCGCTACTAATCAATGGTTAATAATATAGGTATAAGTCTAATAAGAAGAAACTTGATTTAATAGTTTGGTCGCAATAATATTCACAATGTCATTTGCTTTGCTTTGGCTAGTATAGATTTGACTTGTCAGTTCGAGGTAAAATTTCTGATAATAATAATAGTAATGTAAGTTTGTTATTGAGAGGAGTCTTGATTCCCAAATTGATAATTCCCAGTGGCGTAGCCAGACCTTCATTTTTGGGGGGGCGAAGCGAACGCCGAAGGCGCGAGACAGGGCCGTCCGAAAAAATTTTTCCCGGAACAATTTATTTTTCGCGACCTTTCCTCTCCCTCCCCCCGTCGCCAAAAAAATTTCGGTCAGTGTACCATTTTAGGGGTCGAAAATTTTTTCCGGACATCCCAATGAGATTGCGATCAGAAATATCGCATTTAAATCATTCTAGGTTCTATGAGACAGCATTTCCGCATTCTCAAAATTGCGTTCCTTTTTCATACGATACAGAATAAGTCTGACAAGAATATTCATGCGATGATAATGCATACACGTAAATCTGAACTAAATCTTGTCTTCTTGGAACCATATCTAAAACTGCTTTAATTAACGAGATTTTACAAATCAAGTTCCTCCAGTATATCCTCGTTTTCCTCAGTCGCGCGACGTACTTAATCAGTTTCAGCTTCGGGAATGTAACATGTACCCCCCCCCCATTTCTCTACGGATTTAGCCTTTTTCAGAGAATGTTTTTTTTTGCGATTGGGGGGGCGGTCGCCCCCCTCGCCCCCCCTTGGCTACGCCCCTGATAATTCCCCGTGCTATTTAATTGATCTGGCGAGGTATTTTTTGTTTAAATCGTTTGTTCCAACATAAAGAAGTATGTTCTCAGGTTCTTTTCGAATTACAGGTTTCAAATAATCTTCCATGTCAGAACAGTTTGCTCCTTCAGAGTCCCCGATTACGGCAATGACTTTTTTTAGTCAATTACCAATTGACTTATTAAACAATTCGCATTACAGACTAATTTTAAAACTAGGCAAGGAGATGCAAATAAATCACCACAGCTAGAAAGAGCATATTAAAATTAGTAAAATTACAAAGTTTGGTTGCGAAATGTTGTAGAATTTGGAAAATATAGACTTGCAAAATTTGCAAATTTTGTAGGAATTTCCGCAGCCGCAGGGCAATACAAAAGTATAGAAAATTTGCGAACTTGGCAAGGCTATATTTTCCGCATTTTACAACATTTCTCAACCGAACTTTGTAATTTTACTAATTTTAGTATGCTCTTTCTAGCTGTGGTGATTTATTTGCGTCTCCTTGCCTATAGTTTTAAAATTAGTCTATAATGGGAATTGTGTCTTAAAATTAGTCTATAATGGAACTTAGCCAAAATCCTGCCGTTTCGAATACGTATATGGACTGGTTACACGATATAATCAATTTAAGCAAAGCTATAAATTGCGGTTAATGGGGTAATATGTTCTGAAGGCTCTATCTGCCCGAGGGTGTTTTCAGTCTGCCAACGCATCTGCGTCACAACAATTGAACCGTACAAGGTCCAAGTACCTTGGCAGAACAAGGGAACCGTTTTCTAGTCCTGTTAATATTACAAAATATCAGACAAATATCGAACTTTGGCTGCTAAGCATGTGAACAACTGATGCAAACTTGGGATTAACCAATCAGAAATTATCCTGAAAGTTAATGGCCCCCCTCTTTGCGCAAGGATTTTTGATCTATTTTGCTCTTCTGCTGTCCTACATGAGTCACAATTTGTATTGTATTAATTAGTACGCTATGCATTCGTGCCTACTCAAGGTTACGTGCTATCCTATTATCTCCAGTTGCATGCTATTGCTACTTTGTTTAATTTAATACCATACAAACAATACACGTAATCAACTGCATATTTAGATTCAAGGGCGCTTTCCATTTAATGGCCTGACCGGTCAGACCCAAATTCTTTTCTCTGTATCAATTGAATCAATGGAAAGATCTGGTCTATATTTCTCAAATATCTAGTGAAAATGGACCTCACTCTAATGTTATCTAGATTTTCCGGTCAGATAGGTCCGAAGCCCAAATGTTTTGTGTTCCATTCAACAATTTGACCGTATGACATACCGTTTCACGTAACAAACGAGCTAATTCTCATTGGTTGAGACAGTTGACAGCACATCATGAATTTGCGACTGGTGTTACACAGCGGACGGACTTATACTCGCAAGGACAATACAATTATAAGTTGTTCGAAATCCATTGTCAAATATTCAATATTTTAGAAAGGACTCAGCACTTGCCCATGTTAAACTACAAAACAAATGTTCACATTGACAGGCAAGCATGCATTGCTGTAATTCGTTGAAAAAGTCCGGACCATTAAACTCACAACTCACAAAGTTAGGAAACAAAACTCTCTCAATACGTGGAGTTGGGATGTTCGCTTGGGCACCAGTTATTGCAAGGAATAATAATTTACAGAAACGCTGAAGTAACAGATTAGCGGTTAACAATTAATGCATGGACATGGTTTACTTCGTTATTAATTAAGCTGAGATACCTTTCTTCCTCTAACAATTATTCAATATTTCCACTCAGTACACACAAATAAGGGGAGAATAAAAGATTAAGTGCAACTGATAAAAATTGCGGAGCGGTTGCAGTCTCATGTAACTCGTGACTACGGCTGAAAGGCATAAAGGGATTATTAAAGTATACTTGCATTTAATATTTCCATAAAGACAAGGATGAAAAGTGCAATTTGCATCGCTATTCACTATTCATGCAGAGAATGTCAAAAAGTAT